TATATATATATATATATTTATATTTATATTTATATTTATATTTATATATAATATACCTTGTATAACAAAAATTCTTTTGAACTTTAATTCTTCCTTCTGAATTATTCATTCTTTCCAAAATCATAATAATCTTTTAGATATTCGATTCTACATTATTATATATTTCAATAGCTAATAAAGCAATAGATTCCACAAAAAGATGTTAATCAATAATAAATTACTCATATTAATTATTTTATTTCAAAATACTAAACTACGAACCTGATAAAATCATACTTTTTTTAGAATTATTTTCTATATTTTATTTATTTTAATTCATATATATTTAATTCAAAGTATAGAAAATAGTTTAAAGTCTTGATTTACTTATTAAAGCAGGAAAAATATCAAAATCTTAATAAAACTGAATAAAACTAGTTAAATTCATCATTTATTTTATATCTTAATAATTTTTATAATATACAACTACATTTATATGTATTTCTCCTAATAACGTTACCTTTTTATATATATTTATATATAATATAAAAAAAAAAAAATAATTACTATATCTTAATCTTTTAAAACATCCATTAAAATTTATAAATAATAATTAACATTTTTTTTATTCTATTTAATATTATCATTATTTTTATTATTATTTACATATTTAAAAATATTCTCTTCTATTAAAATCCTCAAAGCTTATTCAGGACTTTCATTGGGGTACATATTTTCTGATATAATTTATAATAATTTAAGAAAATGTTCGAATTCTATTTTTCCTTTAGTCCCTTATGTTTCCATATTATTCTCCAAGTAACTTTTTTATGCTAGAATAGGACTTTAACTACAAATAATGGAATTACTTTGAGTTTTTTTTATTTATTTTATACAATTTGGACCAGTAAGTTTTGCCACTTATATTTCAATAAAATTTTTATTTATTTTATTTTCATTTATTATATTCATGTCAGTTAAAAATCTTATTAATTTGAAAATTTTTAAAGTAGAAATATTCATAGGTTCTCCTTAAGAACAATAACTCAAAAATATTTAATGTAAATTCTCTTTTTATTCTTAAGGAAGAAAAGCTTCTATTTAAAAAAAAGAATCTTTAGTTTTAAAAGATGTATATATATTTTATTTAACATAAGATGAAGAACAATTTGAATAAGTACTCTAAAATTCAATGTTTTCATTCATTTTTTATTTAAAACTACTAGTTAATATAGTTTTAGAATTATTTGTTTTATTAGTTTTTTTTTAAATATTTTAAAATCCTTCCGAAAATTGCATTTTTTCTAATAAAAGCTCCACTTTTTTCTATACACTAATTTCCATTATAGTATCCTATTAATATACAATTTAAGCTGAAAAAATAAGGAAATTTAAAAAACAATTAAATGTAAAAACAGTTCCTATATCTTTTTTACCGTGTTTTTTTAAATTAAGTAATTAAAAAGTAAAAAAGCACTACTCTTAGTAATTTAGGGTGAAATCTCATATTCTTTTAAAAATATTTATAATTATTTCAAACTTTATTTCTCAATTTATTCCAATGTCATACCTGATTAAGGTTCGAAAGGAAAATAAATCTATTTTATATATATATATATATATATATATATATATATATATATATATATATATATATATATATATATATATATATATATATATATTTAACAAAATTATATGTTAAATACTTTATATATTTATAATAATAAAGATTTTATAGGTTCAAATAAATAAACACATTATTCAAATATTGGTTATTGAAATTTTTATAATTCCAATCCTAAATCAGTTTTGGTAGTTATAAATTCATATATAGGATTTAAATGGGTATTTATTAATTTTTTAAATGCATTTTCTGCTGTTTCTGTTGGATATTTTAATTAAGAAATAATAGGTAAGGTATCTATAAATTTCTAAAATGTCATATTTTACTTATTTTGGGTATTTTGGGAATATATTATATCGATTGTTTTGGAGTTTATTTATGAGGAAATTATTTAAGAATCTTACATTAATTTGGAAAATTTGGCGGATTTTAAATATGTGATATTTTGACGATCTCCAAATGAGGAATAAAAATGAAAAATTAAATTTAATTTTTATTTTAATTCTTCCATTTTATTTGTTTTATTTTTAATTTAAATATTTTATGTTTTGTTTTTTTTTTTAAAGAAAATAAGAAAAAAATTTAAAAAAATAAATAAATTATATTTTTTGAAAATAAAAATATATTAATATATATTTTTATTTTTTAAAAAAATATTAAAATAAAACTTATTGTATTTTTAATATAATTTACTTTTAAAATTAAATTCATTAAATCAAGTTTAAAAAAAAAAAAAATTTTTTTTTTACATTCTATAAATAAAAAAAGTAGTATATGTTCTAATATAATTAGTCATAAAAAAAAACAGTCTTTATTTTGTAAAATTAAAAAATAATACTCAATTTATATGTTATATATGTAAAAAAAAGAAGAAAAATGCTGATATTTTATAACTTAAAAAAAAAAAAACCACTTTATAATAATAATAATTGCATTTATTTATATAATAAACAAATTAATCTACTTTTTTCTTTTTTTTTGTTTTTGCGAATAAAAAAAAAAAAAAAAAAAAATTTTTTTTTTTTTTTTTCTAAAAATAAAACAAAACAAAATCAACTAACTAATACTTTTTATTAAAAAGGACTTTTTCTTTTATTTCCTTCTTCAACTAATTCTTCAAACTTATTATTCTTTGCTTAATCCGAATACCATCCATAGAATTAATACATAAAGAAATAATTAAATACTGCCCAAGGAACAACTCCTGCATAAGTCTAGCAGAATCTCAATCTTGTACTTTCTTATAAATTAGCCAAAGAAACACTACTATCAGCGATCTAAAGTTTACTTTTCATACTTAAAAGCCCGTAAGAAGCTATCCAGGCAGGCCAACTTAACCATTACAAACTTGAATTGTCATAAACAGCTCTTAAGTGTGCCAAAAAGATTAAATTATACCCTAGTTTATACTCCACTCCTCTAAAAAGTCCCTATAATCCTCCTTTCTTAGCCATCAAATCCTTCAAAGTGCTAAACCAACCATCATATTTGCCAACAGTATCACAATAAACAGCTGTTTTGAGTGTATCTAATGGATAAAAGAGAGCTTCGAATGCCGAAGTAGCAGCTAATTAAGCCAAAAATCCTCCTTTTTAACTCCAAATTAATGCTTAATAAGGTACCAAATAAAATTATAATAAATTCAAAAAAGATCCCTTGTAAAATCCCTGAGTAAAAATACCTCCATTAAGTACTACTTAAGCTGCAGACTAGAAAGAATTTCCAGCAAATTAAAATTAAGCACGAGTACAAATAAAAGCCTATCTTAAAGTTATTATTCTTTCCAAACCAGCAAATAAACTAAGTCTATATATATTATCTGTTAAAACATTCATTAATTCAGGTTCTTCGTTAAATTATTTGTGCAAATATAAGTATCTCTCATTTAAGATGTCTTGCTCAGAATACAAATAACGAGATACCCAGTCTGTACCTAAGGAACCCGTATGTTGACGGTATTCAAATAATTTTTGTTGGTTTTAATCTACGGTTAAATAATTCCATAAATCCTTTATGGGACTTAAATATGGAAAGATATAATTAGACATTTTTTGATTTTTGTTAGTCTTTTTTTTATTTATTATTATAAAAATATGTATATAATAAATAGTTTTTTATTAATATTTTTTCCTCTTTTAATTGATTTTTATTTGATTTTAATTAAGAAATTTTAATTATTTTTATTTATATTTAAATATCATCAATTAAATATTATATAAATAAATATTTTTATTTTTTATTAAATTATATTTTTTTTTAATCAAATTAATTATTAAGAAACTTAAATATTAAAATCTTTTACAATGATATTTGTTTTATTTTTTTTATTTTTTTTAATACTTTAATAATAAATAAAAAAATAGGAATAATTTATAGATTAAGTTATATTTACAAAAATCAAAAATTCGAAGAATATATAAATAAAAATTTTTTAAAAATAATATGAACTAAAATATGTAATACTAATCTAAAAACATTATATATACTATTTATAAATATAATAATATATATTTAATCTATATTTATTAATATTTTTTTAATAATCCATTATATTTTTGAATTTCAAATCAATAATTAAAAAATTCTAAAATAATAAATTATATTATAAAGTCATATATAATTAAAATAAATAAACAACATAAAATTCTACTAAAAAAAAAAATATGTCCAAAAACTAAAAAAATACATCTAAACTCTCTCTTTTCACAACAATCTATTAACCGGTACAATCACCGTTTGTATAGATGAATTTATATCTACCAATTTCCGTCTACAAGTTCAAAAGACTGACCAAGAAAAATTTAAAAAGTTTTTAAATATCAATGGTATATATTACAACATAAAAACATTTACGAAAGAAGAAGGCATATGGAAAGGCTTAAATAAAGGTTTTTTAACTTTTAAAAATAGTAATTATTTTTATTAGAATTTGTTTATATAAGGCTACTTGTAATTGAAATAATTTTTGGTTAATAATCAATATATAAATTTAATTTAAGCTTCTAGGACATCTTATTTTTTCTAAAATTGTATGTTTTTTTACATATATAATTATTTTCTATATATATTCGTAGAATATATATATCATATCTAATAATACGGAGTGAGCTTTTTGTATTTTGTTTGTTTGAAATTTATTATTGTATAAGGATTTTTAATTTTTATATCAACTCTATTTTATTTCAATATACTTTAAAATTTTTCTTAAATATAATTTTTAATTGATAAAATAATATATTTAAATTTCATATAGCAGAAGACAATTCATATATTAATGAATAAATTTTTGAAAAGGAAATCTCATATTAATATAATTTAATTTAAAAATAAAAAAAATATTCAATATAAAATATAATTCTTATGTAATACTAAATATTTATTTTCTCAATATACCTATTCATTTAAAATTAATATATTAAAATAATATAAAAAAACTCATTTTAATTTTTCTAAAAATTTCATTTTATTTTTAGCTTTTTTCCTAGAAGGATCTGCCTTAGCTTTAACTCTTTTATTTTAATTCATTTCTTCATTCCACTTATCATAATCAAAATAATAATTTAACTATCTACACGCTTTATTTAGCGGGTCTTAACTTTTAATAGGCACTAACGCATATTCCCCTTCAAATTTTACCCCTTGAATATTTTTATAAGACTCTCTATTATTAGAATCTAATTTAATTCTCTTATACCCAGTAATACCCATTAAATTATTATTATTATTATTTTATTTCTCATATGCATTATATTAAGGAATAACCCCATATGTAAATTAAGGTATATATTATTAAGCCATTTATTTCGCATAATCACCCCAATCAACATTTTCCTATATACTATTATTTTATTATTATTCTTCTTATATATATGTAGATGGGAAATAACCATCTATTTATTTTTCCTAACAAAGCACACTTCCCCACCACCATCCATTCTCGAATCTGTATTTCACTAATATTCTATCATTTTTTTTAAATGTTAAATATATCATATTATTTGCAGTATTACTCGTCTTTTCATTATTGTTGTCTTTTTATGAGTTTTGAACTTCTTCTTTTAAATTTTATTTTTCTTCATTATATTCACATTTTTCATTAGTATTTTGAGATTTTTCGTTTGTATTTTAAGATTTTTCTTAATTTTCATGGATTTTTTCTTAATTTTATTCACTTTAATCGTTTGATTATAGCTCATTTTATTGATTTTTTTGTTATCCTTATGTCATATATGCTAAAATTTCAGGTGAAAAATCGGCTATGGCAATTACTATAGACATTTTTTTTTTTATATAATCAATCTTAATATTTATATATATATATATATATTTTATTTTTTTTTATAATTTTTTTTATATATATTTTTTTTATATATATATATTTTTCTCATTATAATTTATTAAGGATAAAAAAGTATTAGTATTATCTATTTGCAAATTTTTTTATATATGTATTTGCCTATTTAAATTTATTTATTTTTAAATTAAAAAAAAAAATGTAAAAAATATAAAATTTAATAAAACCTTATTTAGAACTTTCGTTTTTAGAAAATACATACATGTTAAATTATGATTTACATTTTTTATAAAATTTTATACATATATATATTTTTATAAATAATAAAAAAATATGATTAAAATATTTAATATGTTAAAAGACAATAAATATATTAAAAAAAAAAATCAGTATAAAAAGCATATATATAAAATTCGTACAAAAAAAAAAATTATTAATTTATTAAAAAGAAAAAATAGAAAACTAGAAAACAGATAGATGATTATATATAAAAAAAATAGAGAGCGACTATTTTTTATGTTTTAATTTACAATATACATTTTAAACTTAGTTTTTTAAAGAAAGTTCTTAATTTATTGTTAAATTTAAAAAAATAAAATATATTTAAATTTATTATTTTCGAAAATATAATTTTATATTCAAATATATATTTTATTTTATTTTCTAAAACAAAAATAATAATAATAATAATAATAAAGAATAAAATTAATAAGAAATTTTTTATAAAAAAAAGCTTTAAAAATATAATTTATATATATATATATGCATATAATTATTTAATGGAATCATATAACTATATATTTTTTTAGCCAAATTAGATTTTTAATTTATTTAAAAACAATATAATTAATAAATAATATTTCGTTTAAAAAAAATCACTAAATCCTTAAGGTCCACATTAATATTTAACTTTTTAATGTTAATTTTTTTATATAGTATGTCATTTTTTTCTTTTAAAGAATGTTTAAATGAAAAAAAAAGGAAGAAGAAAATGTATTATTCATTTTTTTTTTAGTACAATTAAATTCTTTTTAAAAAATTAACAGTAAATATAAAAAAATGCTAAAAAAAAATATATGGATTTTTATTTAATTTATATAAAATGAATTTGAGTATTATTTATAATTTCAGGAAATCAGTATTTAAAATAAAAATAAAGAATATTAAAAAATTAAAAAAAACAAAACAAAAGATTTTTCAGATATAAAACTTTTAAAATCATTACATAAATAATAATAATAATATAATGAAAAAACAAAGTTTGATTTAAAAAAATATAATTAAAATTAAATATTTCAAATGTAAAATAATATAAAAATGGCAATAAAAAATGTTAAAATAAAATAAATATTTATAAATAAATTAAATATTTAATTATTTTTTATATTTTTTTTTAAATAAATAAAAAATGTATTATATGTATTAAAAAAAGATGGAAGATTTAATAAAAAAAAAATAAAAAAAGAATATAATAATAAATATAAATATATATATATATATAAAAAAAAAA